GAAAGCTGTTTTCCTTTGTAATCCTATGTATTTTTACATTATGCATTGAAAAGCCTTTTTCTGGACAGTCTGCAGGCTTCCTCAGGCCAACTGCTGAAAGGTCCAAGGAACAAAACAGCACTGGGCCCCTCTTGGCCCTAATCCATGTGGTCCTACTTTGAGAAGGTTACAGGAGCCAGAGGGCCTTTCCCTGGGCCCCCCTGCTGTTGTTATTCCAGCTGGGCCCCCCTCATCGCAGGCTTCTTGAATTCTGGGTAGGAGTCAGTCTGGAGTTAGGTGGATTTAACCTTATTTTTCTGAGCAATGAAGCCCACGTTGAGCATTTGGTCAGTTTACTCCTAGACCGACCAAGAAGGGGATCGAGGTTCACCAACGGGGTGACAGAGCGAAGGTGGGAGTGGGGGCAGCGCCTCCCTTCCCAAAGGCTTGTCCCCTCATGCCTTGCCACCGCCGTCTGCCTCTCTGGTCTGCTCAGAGCTGGGAGGGGCTGGAAGCCTCGGTGACAGCCCAGGTGAGGGAGCCAGGCTTGACTGACCAGGGATGGGCAGTGGGAAGGCAGGCGGCTCTTGTGACTGTTTCCCCGAAGCCCAAGCACCTGTTCCCTTCACACCTCCCACCTCCCTCTCTCCTGTGCATGGCCAGGCATCTGCTTTCAGATAGCTGTCAGTTAATCCCCCTTATGCCTGTGAGCTGATACTCGCTGGAGGTGTCCAGCCCCGGGGCCTGCCACGTTTTGTGGGGAGGAGGCTCTTAAAGTGGCCTCAAAACCCCAGAGAATGAGTGTCTCACATGAGCCCTTCAGGCACCCTGAAAGGCTCCCTAGCCCAATGGATAAAGCTTTAGAATTGGTCAGGAAAGACTTCCATTCAAGTCTGGCCTCCGACTACTTAAGAGCTGCGCAACTTTGGGGGGCTAAATCTCTGAGCCTCAGTTTCTTCATCTGCAGCATGGGGATCCTGATACTTGCAGAGCAGATCTCTTGGCATTGTTACGAGACTCAGAGAAGCTATTGTCTGTGCAGTGCTTTGCTAACCTTAAGTCCTATAGAAATGACAACTGGTATCATCCTACGGCAGCAGATGGGACGTGGGGGGTCAGAAAGCCGCTTCTTACTCTTCCAGGCAGCCCGCCGAGGTGACAAGCTGGCCTCAGATGAAGAGTAAGGGGGTGGTGATGACGATGGTGACCCGTCGCTGGCCAGGCTCTGCACTTTCCAGATAACTCCCCCAGCCGGTACATTCCTCTGTTTGTGTCCCAGGTCAGTTCCATGAAGAAGGTTCAGGGAAATTCTTTGACGGATCCAGGGCATCACAGACAGTAAGTGATAGACTTTTTGGAACCAGGAAAGGGGAGAAGGCGGGGGAGAAGGATTAGGAGAAGGGGAGGGGAGCAGTCAGGCTCCAATCGCTTGGCATTTCAGCGATATCATGGAACTCTGGGGAGTGGGCTTGCCTTTAGAGGGGTGGGTTCTTTCTTCCTGGGAGTCTTCAAGCAAAGGCTGGGTGATATCTTGGCAGGAGAGTTGTACAAGAGACATGGGCTTCAGCATAGAACTAGCAAGCATTTGCAAAGTGCTTTACATGCCTGGTCCCATTCTATCCTCACAGTACTCTGTGAGATGCTGCTACTGTTATCCCGTTTATAGATGAGGAAACTGAGGCAGAGAGAGGTTAAGTGGTTTGTTCAGGGTCAACAAATCAGTCAGGAAGTGTTTATCAAGTGCCTTTTGTGTGCCAGGCCCTGTGCTAAACCCACAATCCAGTGAGGGAGGCAACATGCAAATTGCTATGTACAAACTCCAGGCAGGATAAACTGGAAATAATCAACAGAGGGAGGCCCTGGAAATGAAGGGGTTGGGGGAGGCTTCCTGCAGAAGGGAGGATTTTAGCAAGGACTTGAAGGAATCCAGGGAAGGGGGAGACAGAGAGGAGGAGCCAGCGCGTTCCAGGCCTGGGGGGCCGCCAGAGGAAATGCCTGGAGACAGAGAGGGAGGGTTTTGTCCCAGGAACTGCCAAGAGGCATTCAGGATTACCCGGTCAAGGAGTACATGGGATGGTGTAAGGTGTAAGAAGGCTGGGAAGGTAGGAGAGGGCAGGTTAGGAAAGGTGTGTGTGTGTATGTGTGTGTATGCATGTGCTCATATGTATGTATGCTTGAAGCATGTGTATGCTTGTATGTATGTGTATGTGTGTGCGTGTAGGCATTATGCATGTGTGCATGTGGATGTGTGTGCATGTGTGCGTGTATGTGTGTGTGTGTGTGTTTGTGTGAGTGTGTGTGTGCCAGGGTGTGGAGGGGGATCTTCTCATCTCTTCTTTGGGGCTAAGCTGATTCCTTGTAATTTTGCAAAATTAATTTCTGGTTGATTGTGACCCAGGTTCTTTCCATTTACATTGTTGACGGTTTTCTAATTGATTCTGCTATCTCGCTTTGCATCAGTTCATGGCTCTCTGTGGTTCTCTGTATTCCTCACGTTTGTCATTTTGTACGGGGCAGTAATATTCCATTATATTCGTGAACTGCCGTTTGACTGCTCTGGTCCCCACTCTATGGGCAGCCTCCTTGTTCGCAGTTCCCAACGTGTTGCTTTTGGTGTACTTTGTGTCTTTCATTTTATCAATGATCTCCTTGGGGTATGTGCCTGGCAGTGGATTCTTTGAAGGACTTGGACATTTTAACCACTTTATTTGTATAATTCTAAATTACTTTCCAGAACAACTGTAAAAACTTATACTTCTAGCAACAGCATGTTAGTGTGCCTGTCTTTCCACAGTCCCTCCAGCACTGACTAGTCCAATATTTTTTTCATTTTTGCCAATTTGCTGGGTGAGTTGTTTTGATGTGCATGTCTATTATTATTAGAGATACAGAGCATTCTTTCATATGTTTGTTAATAGTTCATAATTCTTTTGAGAATTGTTTGCCCTTTTGATCACTATCTGCTGGAGGATGGCTTTTTTGTCATATATTTCTGTTGTCCATATATATGTACATATGTCTTGGATATCAAACCTTTACCTGAAACAATTGATATAAAGCTCCTCCCCCACTTCCCTTCTTATCTTAGATGCCTTAATTTTATTGATGCCAAACGTTTCAATTTCATATAATCAAAATTATCTTTTTTTTTTTGTAGTTGCTTCTAACACACTTGTTTGCTTAAAAATTTATTTCTCACCCAAAGCTGTGAAAGGTATATCATCTACTTCTCTCCTATTTTTTTTAGATTTTGTGATCTTTAATATTTAGGTCATGTATCTATTTTGAATTTGCTGTGAAACATGGCAGAAGGCGTGACATGTGGTGTAAGGTCTTGGTCCAAGTCTAATTTCTGCCAGATGGCTTTTCAGTTTTTCCAGCAGTTCTTATCAGTTTGGGAGCTCTTTCCTAAATAAATGATGTTTCCAGGTTTATCAAACCGTAGGTTATTGAGTACCGCTATTTCTGATTTTCCCTTGTCCAGTGTGTTCCATTGATCTGCACCTGCAGCCCCACCACCTTTCAAAGAGAGTCGCAAGATGTGTTTCATCATCTATTCTCTGGTACTGAAATGGTCAGTATAAAAGTGATTACTATCAGTGTTTCCAGGGTTGTTTCTGTTTGCGTTGTTGTGGACATTGTTCTCCTGGTGTTCACTTCCATTTGCATCATCAGCTTAACGAGCCTTGCCTAGACTTTCCAAATTCCTCATCTTTATCGTTTCTTCCTGCGTAATAAGATTCCCATAGAGTCATGTACCACAACTTGGTTACTCATTCCACCATTGATGAACCCCACTTTGCTTCTAGGCTTTTTTTTTGGTTGAACCTTAATTTGTGCTTTGAATGAAACACACAGTTCCCTAGCTGAAAGTGACATTTTAGTGTGAGGTGTTATCTTTTAGAAGTTGATTCCTTGGACTGTGGGTTGAGTAGACAAGCTCTTTTATGTATTTGTGGTGCATGTTGGGTGTTCCTTGGCTTGCCATTTCGAAATGTAGTTGTCCTGAAATCCCAGAATATGAGCAGAAAAGCCAGTCAGGTGTGTTGACATGTATTTTTATACCTTAGCCAGCATTACCACTGTAGTACCAGTTGTCAGAGTATCCCTTGCTCTTTTGAATTGAAACAAGTGGCTAATGGGAGATTGTACCCACTTTATGCTGTTCGGAAATTTTTGTGAAAGGTCTTTGTTTCACTAGGAATTGTTTAGGTTATTTGTGGGAATCATGTGACTGCTTTTTGGCCTTACATCCACAAGAAAGGAAGTGAGAAAAAAAAAGCTTTCTATCAAATTTCTCAGGTAAAGTTTTGGCATCTGGGAAGTATCTACACATATACATGGACAACAGAAATATTTAAGCCATCTCCCAGCAGATAAGTGGTCAAAAGAACAAACCACTCTCAAAAGAATTACAAACTGTTAATAAACATTTGAGAGAAGCTCCAAATCTCTCCATCTCTCCTGCAGATAAGCACCCGAGGCAAGACAGAATGCTCTGTCTGTGAGGTGTGGCCGGGCTCCTTTCATTACAACGCAGGAGTCACTGGCCACATTACCTCCATAATTCATGCTCACTTTGGTTTCCAGTTGCAGCTTGGCCTGCTGGCCTCTCAATTCTAGATGTGCTCATATCTTTAGAGAACTCTCTTCTCCGCCAGCTGGTGAGTGACCAGGGACCTTTTCTGCTGAGTCTCATAGAAAGGGATGGTTGGGGCATTGTCCTGGTTGGCTCTGGAGTTAATTCTGGGCCAAACATAGATCAGCTCTATGGAGCATTTGCTCTCTTTAGCATCTGGATCTACTGAGTAAATACCATGTGGAAAGAGGTTCCATTTGGCCAAGTGACTTTAGGACCTCCTGTCTGAGAGAAAATGCATTCTCTCTGCCAGTTGGAAGGTGAATTTATGCCTTTGTCTCTGGTGCTAGTCTACTTCCCATTTATTTGGAGGGGATCTTATTAACTTCCACTGACTACCACGTTGCCTCAATGTTTCCATCTATGGTGTTCTCGTCTTTAGCTTATGGAGATCCACGACTCAGCGAGGAACAAAACTCATGGATACCAGAGACATTCTGAAAGCCGTCCCAAACAGAGAGGGTCACAGACCATTCAGCCAGCGTTGGCCCAGAGTTTGAATCCTGCCTCAGACACTTGCTTAGCTATGGAAACCAAGGCAAGTCACTCAACCTCTATCTGCCTCAGTTTTCTCATCTGCAAAATGAGGAGAATAATAGCACCTTTCTCCCAGGCTTGTTTTAAGGATCAGGCAAGATAACACGCACAAAGTGCTTAAATGAGGCTGTTATGATTGTTACAGTTATTGTAGTCATTGTTCTTTGTCCTTAAATCTGGGGTCATGATGCCACCAAGAGTGGGACAAAGGCCAACCTTCGAAGAACATATACTTACTGTAGCTTCACACTTCAGTCCATTGGGTTAGTGGAAACGCAGAGGTAGCATGGGACAGTGATGGGGGCACCACAGGACCAGAGCCAGCAGCCGACTCCGCCATGTCCCGTGTGACTGAGCCCTGATGTCTTCATCTGCAAAATGGCACCAGCTCCTCCTAGGGCTTATGGATGTGAGGCTGGTGCGTGAGGTTCACGGACGTGAAAAGTGCTTTGTCATGGAAAAAGAACCAACGAGACTGTGATTTAGTCAGTGACAGCCGTCTCATTGCCTCCAGATCTCCTCCTCCAATAAGCTAGTCGGCTTCACCCCTTCATCCTGTTTTTCTTTTTCACCAAACTGTCAATGAACTGGGTAAAAACCAAAATCCTGGGTCTTGGCTACCAAGAGTGTTGGTCCTGGTTTGTTTTGCAAGTGTACACACTTCTAACAAATCATTTATCTGGATGATTCATGGGTTTATTAGTTAACTGTAACAGGGTTATTTGTTTAAAATTCATTAATAAAAATAATGCCACTTAATTAAGTCAAAACAGATTCAGTGAATGTTTTGTATGTGTCAAGCACACCCCTAGATGTGGTGGAAAGTAAAAGAATGTCCAAGGCAGAGGCCCTGGCGACAAGGAACTTCTAGTTGAATTGGGGGGGTAAGGAAGAGAAAGCATTCACATGAAGTTATATTAATAGAAGAGAGCAGAGAGCATGAGACCTCCCAAGGCAGTACCAAGTAACCAACCAGCTAGCTAGCTAACTAACCAACCAGCCAGCTAGCTAACTCACCAGTCAGCCAACTAACTAATCAACCAGCTAGCCAGCTAACTAACCAACTAGCTAGCTAGCTGTAGAGAAAACCAATGCCAAGCTACTTTGGGAATCCAGGGAAGGGATAGTAGGTCCCCGTGGGCTGGGCTGTTCAGGAAGGTGGGACATGATTTGGATGATCTGCACATGGCATTTTCTTTTCTTTTCTTTTTCTTTCTTTCTTTCTTTTTTTTTTTTTGGTGAGGCAATTGGGGTTAAGTGACTTGCCCAGGGTCACACAGCTAGTACGTGTCAAGTGTTTGGTCTGAGGCCGGATTTGAACTCAGGGCCTCCTGACTTCAGGGCCAGCGCTCTATCCATTGCACCACCTAGCTGCCAGTGCACATGGCATTTTCTAGGGAGCCAGTGAAACTGAGAGTCTCTACAGGAGGTCATATGTGGGGACCTCAGGATAGAACAGCAGATTAAGGCAGCGCTTATTTGATGGTGGGTTGAGCATTCAGACTTTATCCAGATAGCCATGAGGAGCCACTGATGGTCTCTGAGTAGTGGTCAGAGCCATGCACTAAATGCACCACTTATGTTAACCAGTACTGTACATGCCAGAGACTGTTGGCTGCCAAATGAGAGGCTGCAGAGGGCTCCCCAAAGTTCACAGAGCCCTCCGCTCCAGGCTCTATACGTAGCCCCGTTGTGTCTTAGATTTCAATGAGAGCATGTTCTGGGGATCCGGAGGCACTCAGCCCTGCGGAGAAAACCTGTGTAGGATCTGAAAGGTGCACTGTTGGAGGAGAAGGGGAAGACGTCTTCTGATCTGAGCACTTTGCAGTCAGACGTGGCCCTTGTCCAGGACACGACTGTGTGAAAGGGCATTTTCCTGAGATATTGGTGAAGTCATTGAGCCAGCAGGGCGTTGGAGGGGGCAGAAGGGAGAGGGAAAGGCCTGAGCCAAGAGAAGAGGGGCTCAGTTGCCCATTAGCAGAGCCCAGATATGGGGTCATTGGGAGAGGCCAGAATGGCTCTCAGGAGGCTTTCTGAGAAGGGGGAGAGCTAGAGGCAGGGCAGGGTGGGGTAGGGTGGGGCAGGCCAGGAGCAGATGCATCTCAGGGTTCTAATAAACAGAGGGAGAAACAGCTTCCTCGATAAGGGCACATTGTTCTTCGTGGGAGGGAAGCACATTAAAGTCAGAAGAACTAAACCTGAGAGGGATTCTAAGCATCACCTGGAAAACGCAGAGAAAAAAAAACAGGAGAGAGGATGATGAAGAATCCAGAAGAGGGATGGACACCCAGAGGCCAGATCGTCCCATGCTGCGATCTGTTCAACGTTTGACCGAGAAAGCTCCAGGAAGAGGGCTTATGCGAGTGTGTGCAAGCATGCGAGTGTGTGCATGCATACGTGTGTGTGTGTGAGTGCTTGTGTGTCTGTGTGTGAGTGCATGTGTGTCTGTGTGTGTGAGTGCTTGTGTGTGTGAGTACTTGTGTGCCTGTGTGTGTGAGTACTTGTGTGTGTGAGTGCTTGTGTGTGTGAGTGCTTGTATG